TCTTTGTTCCGTTTGTGAGAATGTTTATCCAGTGCCTGGTGTGTCACAGAGTGAGAGTGAACCGTCATTTGGAGGGTCTATTTCGATAATCCTTATACCAAGCAGTTGCTAATTTAGAAATGCTTTGGAAAGGCGACCTTGACGTAATTGTCCTTTTATGGGTGTATTAAAACCATCTGTCCAGATGTTGGTTGCATCCTATAAAAATAGTTGACGTTTTTATCTTGAGACAGTAGAGAAGTGTGAGCAGAAATGTTTTTCATTAACCTGAGGCAGCTGAGTGGGCACTTCGTGTTCCCTTTGCTCGCAGTTACAATTATTTTCCATTTTTGTAAATATTTTAAAACCTTGCTTTAGTGAAAAATGCCATTCTCTATTTCTATACAGTTCTATATCCAGGAAAAAAAGTGCTGTTATCCTGCATTCTGGAATAAGGTAACTTCTTCGAGCTAATCATCCCTAAAATATTTGCAAAACAACCCCTTAATTGTGTTAATCATTTGTTTTTAGCAACGTAGCTGTACAAACAGCTCCTTTGCTGTACGACATTCAAATCACTAAGTCCTGATCCACCCCCTCGAACCGCAGCTGACTCTTTTCAATTAACATCAACTGTTAAAAGCTAAGGGATGTTGTGGTATTGATCGCTGATGTTAACGTTTGTTATCTTGTTAACACGATGCCTCGTGAACAGGTAGTACAGGGCTGGAAATAAGACCAAACAAAACCATCCCGAGCACGGTCTGACAGTTGGTTTGCTCACATTTTTTTTTTTTTAGCTTGTTTAAGCACACAGGCTTGATCAGCAGGAATTCCCTCTGCAGTGATGATGTAAATCTGTGACTAAAAATGGACTCTGAGAACATGTGAAACACCTGTTTATACTTGCTGTGTTTTGGGGTGGCTGAGTCAGACTGCACTGGGAATGTCTTTCTCCAAGGCCGAGGCTGCAAAGTAAAGCCAGGACTGAAAAAAACCCCAGAGGTGTATTTTTTAGTCACTGTCTTTTTCTTGTCTTTGGGGGTTTTTTTGTTTAATTCTCACAAGAATAGGGTTAAGCTACAAGAGAAGCTCTTCCATCTTAAATAACTTCTTGTTGAAAAATTACCACACGAAAAATGGTCAGTTAAAAGTTCTTTTTTTTTTTTCCCCTGCAGGTAAAGATAATAAAACATGTTAAAATTATAGTCTTAGTACAAGCATATGAAAAGGCAGGTATTTATTTCTTTTTTTGCATCTTTTACGAGGACTTTGACAATATTTTTCATTGCAATTCTGACATAGGGTTAAATAAGATAATGTTTTCATATCCTTCGACTTCAGCTCCCTCGTTTGGGGTTGGATATTATGTCATGTACTTCTGTGTTCTCTACAGCTGATAATTTTGAAATGAAGATTTATAATCTTTTTATCATTCCTGAAATGCCACACAGAGACTATTGAAATAGTTAATGTCAAAAAAGAAAAAAAGTAGGGGGGGGTCATATTATGGGCCTGACTCTGACCTCAAAATGAAGCATCAAATTAACTCTACCCTGGAATTTCCAGACCAACAAAAAGAGGAAAAAACACATATGTAATTTTGATGAAAAGGTAATGGAATATGTCATCTTTAATGCTGTGTTAAGTAAAGTTTTGCTTAGGATTTTTTTTTATTTGGTGTAACGATCTTTGGGGGTTTTTTGTGCAGATGTTTTGCTTGCCTTTTCTTTCTGCATCAGAGCTTTATTCCACTTTGTATCTTCAGAGACAATAGGGGCAACATTGGAAATATGGTGTTTTGAGTTTTTGCCTAAGCAGTTGGCTTCTTTAGTTAACCTGGAATGTGGATCTGGAGAGTTCCCACCTGTTCAAGAGGTGACCAAAGTCTCTGCAGTGACTTGACCTTAACTAGTCTGTGTTTCCTTATAAAATAGGAAAGCATTTTCAATTATGGTCTAATTTTAAGGGTTAATCTTTTTGGAATGCCTTGGTAAACTTATTAAAGGAGTTGCAATTCTACCAGCAATCCTTCTTTTCCTCAGCCACTGAAGGAAAAAATAAACATTGATTTCAAGGATTCCAATGTTATTTTCTTCAAGGACAAGAGAAATGGCATTTTACAGCCGTGGGAAAAGACTCCTTCCCTCTCAAATAGGGATGGAGAGATAAGGATCTCACACAGATGAAGTGATAAGGAGTTCAAATTCCAGGGGACCAGAGAGGCAAACACTGTGCAGGCTGCTCCTATTTAAACACTGCAGTTTGAACCTTTTCAAATGCTATTTACCAATTAAATCGTAAAAAGTAATTTTCAACTTTAATTCAGGAAATGGCAACGGCACAGTGTAAAAATACACCTTTTATTATCACTAGCCACTAATAATAAAGGTTAATATTTGTCAGGGTTGGTATTTATTGCCTTAAAGCACGTTCTGCTTTGACCAATACTAAAGCAAATGAGGATCATCCTAACCAGCAGCTTTTAATTGCAGCTTAGCAGTATCTCAGAGGGGATACTTTCCATTCTAACCTCGCTGCTCACAGGTTACTTCATCAGAGCACCAGGCTGTTCCCTTGCATTTGCTCTTCTTTGAATCCCACCGTTCACAGATGTGCCCTAAGATGTGATCTCACTCCTGTCATCCTTAATAGCATTTTTTTTTCCAGGTAATTGCAGGAATGCTGCAAGTGGAATTTAAGAAAAGTCTTTTTTAATAGCTGTGGTGATGCCACTGGCTTGCAAGATTTTTGCATCTTGTGGGAGTCAACAGAAAATATTAGATGACTGTAGTTCCTAATGCCCACAGAGTAGAAGGGATCTAAATACCTTTACTTTTTCCCTACTCAGTTCTTGGTTACAGTGTAGTTACTTTTGTCTCTGTGACAAATAAGCTTTTGAAAAGCTTTTCAGGTTTGCTAAGGGTTTTGTACTAGACCTGCACAGTCCTTAGTCTAAAGACAGATTTTTGTTTGTCTCATGTATTTTTTAAGCACAGCTGTTCAGAGACTCTTGATAAACTTCTAAAGGCTGGGTATGGTTTTCTATCCAGAAGGTCACAAAAAAATCAAGGAGTCTCTTCTTAAGGATGTTCTGAAGGAATTTTAATGGCCTCTGAAGAAAATTAGCTTGAGTATGTCACGCTGGTTTTCTTCAAAGATTTCAGTTTTTCCCAGTGTTTCAAAGCCTGATCAGAGTCAGTGATTCCTCTCATGCACAGCCAGCTCCTCACCTTTTTCCCTTTGAAGAACCAGGCCTGGCTTTGATCTCCTTTTTGAGTCCAAAACTCAGGTTGCATTCCACTGGCCTTTCACTAAGGAGGGATTTCCAGATAACACTGGCTTTGGAAGAGCATCTGCCCAACTCCAGCTGAGGAGGGAAGCAGTGAATACTCAAGCACTCCGTGGAGGTTGTGATGTTCTGTGCTACTTTTGAAGCTTCATTTTATTTTTACCAAATCCAGACATTTGAGGTATAAAACAATTTTAATTGCTAAAATCT